ATTTTCAGCTTGCTCAAATCAACAACCGGTGATCCACGCCCACGATCCAGTGATACTTCGCTCAGCCACCATGGACGCGCAGTGGCAGCAATACTACTGGAATCATTATTTGATGCAGCAACACCATCAGCAGCTCACCAACCCAGATACCACAACTTCTCCTCCCACCACCGCCCACCACACCTACAGCCCCACAGGCACCTACGGCCCACTCACTCACGCACTTCGCACACACCACGTCCACCACTCCAACCCTTATGTGACTCCACCGTACACACCGCCATCGCAGCACACACCCCCACCCCAGGCACCCAACTCCCAGCCAGAGTTTCCACCTCCGCCGCCGCCACCCCTGCCCACGGCCGAACCTGTCACTCCACCACCATCGACCTTCAAACACAGCCCCCCGCCACCACCTACCACACGTGGCACCACAGCGCCCGCCCCACCGCCCCCACACATCCCATCTCCCACACCACCTGTTCCCGACTCCTGGAACCCCACCGAGCAACATTGGGACTCCAACACCCTGCACGGCCACCAACTACATCGCACAATTCAACCCACCCAGTGGTCTCGCAAAGCAGGAGTGGCCGGCCTCCCCACCTTTGAGGTCTTCCCGTGGCAATTGGCCTACCACGGTACCTCCGAGTTCACCGCCCGTACACTGAGCAACGGCAAATTTACAGGTTTCATTGCCACCAGAAGCATAGCGGAGTCGGTCTTCGTGACCCTTTTTCTCCAACAACTCCGCGAGCACCGCCTTGACCTTGACGGCATAGCGGAGGCTCTCCACACACAACAGAGCACAGACGTTCCAAACAAAACTACCCATGCTCGAGCTTTTCACGCTCCCCTCATCAAACTGCTTATCGACCAACTGCAAACCCACTCCCCAGCACCTGCGGAAGGCTCCGCCCTACGCGCCCTCAAGACCACCAACGACGAACTGGCTCGTGCACGTCAGAAACTCCACGACCTGGGCAACCCACTCACACCAGTCAAGAACACGTGCCGATCTTCCGCACCAGCCGCCCCTTCTCACGCACCCACGCCACCACCATCGAAACCACCAGCCATCAACGACGTCTTGCAACCACCACACCCCACGCTGCAAGATGACATCCCCGAAGGCTGGAACTACCCAGAGATCCAACAATGGGTCACTACCTTCGACCCCACCATCCAAGAAGCTGCGACGGAAGTCATCCGACTGCTGCAAACAAGCAAGGTCACCACGCAGCAACTAAAAGAAGCAGCCACCAAATATGGCCTACCCCTCAACCGAGTCAATCGACTCCCCATTCGCAGCCTACAACAGCTGGTGGGAGTCGGAGCAGCCATTGGGTGCTGACTCGCCCTCGTGGCCCAGCAGCAACCCAGCCACACCAACCTCACCCAACTCTTCCACCTGCACCGCACACTTTCCATGCTCATCCACCGCACCCAATACATTGACCGCGCCGAAGCCATCTTTGCAACCGGCCTCATCCACGTCACACTACTTTTCGCATACCCCTCCAACACCCGTCGCTCACAACAATGGCGCAACCGCCTCCGCCAGCTCCACATTTTACCACACACCTACCACTACCACAACTTCCTCTCTTCTAATTCCGTCTACATCAAGCTCCACTTCAATCCCGACCAACCCCAACGCTGCTACCATCAACACGGCCACTTCTACGTTGGCTCCACAGCTATCGGCATCCCCCACCGCGAACATAATCGCCGCGCCAAACTCAAACAACTTCAAAACAACATTCCCATTTCTGCAGAACTCTCCTTACGTTATTGGCATTCCCACAACAACATCCACCACTACACCACTATTCAACTCACCTCCCATGACACATACGACCAAGCCTGGATCCAAGAGCACCACTACATCGCCAACTGGATGCCTTCACTCAACTGGCCTTTCATTTCCCACCACCTCAAACTCAAAGCTCAGGGATGGCAGTTTACGAAACACAGAGCCCACTTCTACTCCAGACTAGCCACCCACAAACGACTTTTCCGACGCCTTCGACAACGCCAGTACACCCTCAGAGAACCACACCTTTACACTTCCACGAAGCATCACGCCCTCCAACTCCTTCGCAACCTCACCAAACACACCGCAGCCTCTTTTGAGGCAGCAAAGCAGCTAAGAAGCGGCCGCCACACAGACCTCGAGGTGTATGCAATACGGCGTATGGCCGCGAATTTGGAAGAACCTGGCCGCAGCCGAGCTCTTCACATTCTCAACAAAGCCTTGCTCTACCGCAATCTCACGCCACCAAGGCCAAACATCCCATTGACAGTGCCCTTCTTGGCCCATGACGACTTTCCCAAGCACTGCCAACAATGGCTTCGCACCACCATCCAGCAGCACAAGCATTTCACCATACCCCTCCACCTCCCCTCACACAGACTGAGGGAAGCCGCCCACAAAACCCTCCGCTCCCACCTACACAACCACCGCACATGGGAGGACACCCTCCGCTCCCCGCCAGATCCCGCAGACCTCCCCTGTGCATGCGATCACCTTCGCACCCTCCTGCAGGATCCGGAGACCCCTACCGTCGACGGCCATTACATCCTCACACTTGATCAACTCCAACTCCCTACACACCTCAGCATTTTCCTCAACGCCAATATGAACAGTACCTATTACCCAAGCAAGGCTCGGTACTTCCTCATTTTCAAGACGGCCTATACCAAATGGCTCAAACTACAGGGGCTTCCACCATCCCTAGTTCAACACCTACAGCCTTTCCTTGAGCACCAATGGCGCCTCCACAACATACACCTCAAACAACAACCCCGATTTACGGCTCGCCTGCTTCGCCAACTCCAAGAACATTTGGGCAAACACACATTACTCCACCATGCCGATCATGAGCTCCAACAACTCCGGCTGTTTTGCCCTCGCCAATATTTCACTGGCGCCTTGAACACCTGGCAATCCCCCGAACTTTTCGAACCACTTCCCTACCTCACTGCCGCCAACATCCACGACCACCTGGCCGCCACTGTCCCCCCCATCCTGTGCACTCGCTACAAGTGGGGCTTCCGAAAAGACTTCAACATTCCCTACGGGGTTGTCCACCTCAAGGAGAAGAAGCACTGGCAAAAAGGCCGTACAATCATTTCATACTTCCAATCACTCAGTGGCAACCTGCTACGCATCACCAGCCGTGCCCTTGACATCATCCTCCAGCACCTCTACCCTCAACATCCAGGCCAAATGTCCATTCCCCAGCTTTGGCACCACTTTCACAGTTACCTCACCCAAACCCCACCAGACATCTCACTACACGCCACCAACGATGACCTGGTCGGCTTTTTCAACTCCGTTCCCCAGCACCGACTCATCGACGCAGTTCATTCCCTTGTCCACCACTGGCAACAACAGCAATCCACACACACCTTAACGGTGGATGTCCAGGCCACAGGCAATCCTTTCCACCACTCACACATTGGCCGACACCATCAGAAACACCCCACCCAACGCACCATCCAGACTTCCGACATTACCACCATCGTGGCTTTTGCCCTCAACACATGCATTTTCCGGGCTTGCAACAATACTTACAAACAAATCCGAGGGGCCGGGATTGGATCCCAGCTCTCTCCAGCCCTATGCAACGTTGCCATCACCCTCATTGAGCATTCCTGGCATCAGATCCACAACAACCTCCTTCAACATACAGACCTCCACTTTACTTACTATCGCTATGTCGACAACCGCTTCATTGTCCACAACGAACATTTCCTTCAACACCCGGCTATCCAAACCCTCATCCACCACAATTTCTTTGGCGACCCTGTGGAACTAGAACCGGTGGAGGACTTTCATCTCCTCGGTTTCAACATCGACCTCCCACAACGCACCATCACCTACATGCAACCTTCTCAACCCTGGAAAATCCGGGATTCCACCACTGCCGGGAGCCAGCGCTTGGCTCTATCAGGCCTCCAATCACGACTTCACACCATTCGAAAATACACATTTCCACCCTCCAGCGCTGACATTGCTGCGGCTGAACTCGTGAACTTATATGTCCAAAAGGGGCATAACTACCACGCCTGCCACCGGTTTTGGAAAAAGCGCCGAATGCGGCGACCTGTGTGTGTCCCACCCTGGACAAAGGGTTTTCCACCACCATTTCTCCACAAGCAGGGGGCAGGAGTGCCATTGCAAGTCTCCTGCCAACGAAGACGCTTGCAATTGGCAGTGAAACCAGACCTGATCCGTCTGGCGTACCTGCTTTCAACACACTGACTCCACTGGTCCACCCTGCCGCTGTTCGTTGTTTTCATGGTCCTTCATGTTACCACCCCCAAACCCACTGCAGCCTTACAGCTGACTTGCAGCCGCGCTGAGTGTCCGATCGTCTTTTCGAGTGCCACTGCAAACAAAGTTAAACCATACTGTTTTCACTGACCTTTGCGCCCTGCGGTTCCTCGCCTTTCTTCCCAACGTGATACTTGCATTAACTGAAGATCCAAGTTCGAAGTGTGTGCACGTGTGTGTCTACGTACGTTTAGTTCATTTGCACTCCTATACAATCATTGCAGAGGTGGCAGGGCGGGGTTGCCGGATGTTTTCTTTTTCCTTTGAAATTTGAACATGACCTAAATGGAATTGGGCCGGAATATGGGGCCGTCTAGGCTTCAAATATATAGACGGCGTCGTGATCAAAAAACGGGCAGTGAAGCCACGGTCCGCGAAGCGACCGAGTTGGGTACCAAGTCCGTTTTTTGGGTTGAAGCCCTCCAAAAAAGCGGAGAGGAGTCAAAGCCATGTTCACTCCAGACCAGTCCAGCTCTTGATGCAGCGAGGTAGGACCTCCCGGACACCCAGCAATTCGGTGTCGGTCAAGCGGTCGGTATACAGTACCTGATGACAAAATTCACAAACAAACACATTTGGGGAAGATGAGGATCCCTTCTTGGAGCAAGGTAACCTTGGCCAAAGGATTTCTTCAGACACTCACACATGTCACATGGCCATGTTCAGATTCGACACGGAACACGTCGACTTCGAGGAATGGCGACTTCGACAAGGACCTGATCGAATGAATCTCTTGACAGAACACCCAAACAAGGCCCCATGCCAAACATCTACAGTGGATTGAAAGTAGATGGCACAATCCCCAAAAGGTGGTTTATATGGATCCCATCTAAAAGACATCTTGGGGGTTGTGCCATCTACTCTGAAACCACTGTATCTATCTGTATCTAATCCAGGTCCATCATCGAAGATTCAGAGTATTTGACTCCATGGGGTGATGATGCTACTAGGGCTACTAGGGTCAGATGTTGAAAAAACAAACAAATTAGGTTGTGGCGGGGATGTATTCTTCAATTGACCCACAGCACACATCCCACGCGCGAATTCCAGCCCAAGGCTGCTCATAGGTTCATACGCTGGGGATATGGGGGTTCTTACTGGAGCGCAATCCGTCCATAATTCTGTAAGGATTTGCAGGGTACACTTCACAGTACTTCAATGCCAACGACCCTCCCCAAGTAACTTGGCCTTTTCTGTCTTCGCATATGTTTGTTCTTTTTTGGCGCTCCCTTTGTCTTCGCGCCCCGTCCACACCAACCACCTGCCGTCTGGCCTCCTTCGCCAGGACCATGCTCCGATCCACTTCGACATGGGGGAGACCCTGACGATCCACTTCTCGGGCCTCAATGGCGCCCGAGACCGGTGACCGTTGATGGGATGAGCCGGTGACCGGTGATGACCAGTGACCAGTGTGACGGTTCTTGTAAAGGCTAGGTGGCATATGGTGACCTGTCTCAGGTTGTGCGCAACTTGGCTGGTCTTCCATGAGTGCAAGTCCAGGGGTGAGGACCAACCGAACCGGAAGGCCGTCCGCCAGCGGTTTTTGATTTCAATACCACCCAATACCCTTAATTGATGATTTTCAAGTAGTAGCTGAGTCGGCCCTACCTACCAAGAGGCCGGGACAGCTTGAGTGCCAATTAAAAAACTATACATTAAGTCAATAAGAGGGCATGTGTTCATTCCAGCCAGGAGGGCCTTCCCGGTCTGGGCTTTTGGCACCGCTTTCCTGGCACTGGTGTAAGGTGGTGATTTCAGCTTGAGCGTGCCCGATGGCATCTTGGGGAGCGAACTGCTCCAAGCCGTACGTCTCCTGGCGACTGGAAGAGTTGTCCAGTTTGCCACGGCAGGGGAGGAATGTATGACTCTTGTGAAACAACCCCCCCCAGATTTGGATGGTAACGGTCACACCTCTTCATTTGGATTGGTCATGAATCAAGAGTCTACATTGAGGTGTAAATTGATCCTTGGAAACCCTTTCACTCAACTGGGCAGCGCGTTAGTTTTGGTACTGGCAATTTGCTTGAGAGATAAACATGCATTGGCTGCATTGGTTATGCCAGCCCGGTTGGCTTCCCAAGATGCTCACATCTTGGGGACGTTAAGCAAACATTGTGTGTTCATGATTGTCACCTGATTCCTTGATGCTAATTAGTTGCATCTATTGTATTTGTACAACAGTTCCACTCTGGACGACAGAGAGAAGCTTGGGAGGGTAGGGAGTAGGAATCTAGGCCATCTAGGCTAAAGTCTATGAGTCTATATATCTTGATTGGAACAAGAACGCATCTTCTCGCCCGAGGTTTGCGCGTCCCCAGGAAGCCAGGGGCCAATGTGCCCTGGAAGCGACCAGAGGAGAATGACTTGGGAATGGTGAAATTCTGTTGCTTCCCACTGTTTTCTAGACACTGAGCCACTGCTTTTACTTGTTTTGCTTTGGGGCGAGGCTTTGTCCGAAACGTGACCTTATTCCATGCACGGACGGCCGAGTTCAGTAGAGGGCTCATCACACTCAACTGCTATGGTGCCCTTTCTCGCGGCCAGACAAAGGGGCCGGTGAGAAAAGGCAGGCCGCCTTCTTTTCTGAACCCTGAGTGGTTCAGAACAAGGAGCAAGCCATAGCAAACTCCTCAAAGCAATTTCGTGATTTGTGATGATTGTGATGAACTGAATTGTGCAAAGCACCGTTTCTCAATATGCACCTTTTTCCGTCGCTCAATGTTGTTGATGGTGGACCAGTGAGCCCCCATTTTAATTTTGGGTCAATGAGGGGCTACTTATGTTGATGGAAGACATCCGGTCATACGGAAAGCAACAGACTCACACGTAACGACAGTATGTTGGAGGGGGAGGAAGAACCAAAGTGTAGGCTTTCTTACATCAACCGCAATGGATTTTTGCTGTCACCTGTCAGCTGCTGGATTCTGGAGACTGGCCCAGGTTTTTTTGTTCTTCGAAAATACCAAGCTCTCAATGACCAAGACGCTGAAGGAACAAGGCCTACAGCCACCTGGCAGGGTGCGGCATGCCGCGCTGCCGCGAACGCTGCGACATGGGTTGGTTTGCATGTAATTCTTCATGCCAGTCCCAATATGTGGGCATCAAGCTTTATGTGTTTAGGTTTGTGGGACATCCAATGGTCTATCAATAGCCAGCTAACTATATATATATATATATTAATACATATGTTTGAGGCCCTGACGCAGGTTCCAATGTCCAAGAATTCCCGTTCTGGACGGCATGCAATTTCTACATCAAACATGATTAATTACCCAGGGCTGAGTAATCGTGTGCCCGTCATGTTCATGACCTTATACATGGGATTATATAGATGTTGCTTTCAACATGGAAATCGGGTTCTCCGTCACTACCTTATACCTATACCTTCCTTATACCTTTTACATGTTTCTCCACTTTGGAAATGGTCATTTGTTTTGCGCCACGGCGGCCCGGCCGTGACCTAGAACCGTATTGACGTTTGTCGAAGAGCATGTCGTCCTGGGGGCCCATCACATCCCTGAGGCAGTGCCCATCACTGTGCTACGTGTACATGCGACGCAATGCGTGCACGCCTCAGAGCAGTCCATAAACACCCACAGTTTCATACCCAGGAGTCACAAGACGGGGTGCCGAGCGAACGGAGGATGCCCCGGATGGGACGAGCCACTGTGACTCCGTCTTTTGATGTTTAGGCGTCAGGGGTGTTTGGGACGTCATGTGCATTCCTTGAATCTTCATCGGCTTTCGCCACTACATTCGCCGCAGGAAACGGCCGGAGACTCCTCACCCAAATAGCCTCTACAAGAACCATGATTCATCATTTTCTCCAAACCTAGGAGTCAGATCGAAGTCATGACGCGGACTTGAACTCCAGGCGGTTCGACCATTTAGACAATGCACCACATGCTGAGCCGTTCAGCACCCAAAGCCATTGAGGTTGGAGGCATGGAAGAGGTTGCGACGACCTGCTCTTTCTGGTACCTCCCGTGATGTCTTTGATGGACGCGTGGGCCAGAGATGTCAAGGTACTGCTATATAGGTCCTTGGTGCTCAATGCTATATTGGTCCTTGGTGATGCCATACAGAGGTCATATAGGTCCTTGGTCTACATAGGTCCTTATATAAAAAGAATGGTCTTGCTAGATGCTGCCATACTTAATTATGGTGGTTATTTGTTATGATTTGTTAGCCTGTCAAACGATATGATCATGCATTTGGTATTTCGATTGCACTCTGCCGTTCTGATCCAGTCACCTCTTGGGGGCACACCCACAGAAACATCCTTCAATCTGAAGGCGAGAGAGGGAGGGAGAGAGAGAGAGAGGGGTAGGGGAACAGCCAACAAGGCAAGTCGACATATTGATGTGACGATGGAAGAAATCCTGCAACGACCCAGGTTGATGCTGTGTCTTTTTCCGCAAGGTCCAAGAAGCAGGCTGTTGGAGAGGTAACCTCCACGGAGGTAGAGGGTGATCTTCCCAGACGTATGCTCCGTTGGCCGAGGAATGTCGGAATTGGCCTTGGAAGAGACCGGTTCCCACCACGGTGCTTGGGAGCTCCCAAGTAGCCTGCAGAGCTTGACGATCGGGGAGAACGTCCATGAAAACATGCGCATGGAGGGAGTGGAGCTGCCCGACACGCTGGAGCCCTGGAACGGAACGGCCCAGCGGACGGACGTTGGTCCGGGTCCCGGAAAAGAATGCTCACGGTGAAGACGCCACGTATAGGAACCCCACCACTTACTGTAGATGATCATGGTCACAACGGATTTATAGACTTAAAATGGATCTAATCTGCATTTATTTGCGGTCTTCACCCTGCTTGTTTCCGTTTGGAAGGTGGAATGAGAGGGGCCCATTCTTTCGTCAGACATGGTCAGACCAACCGCGGTGGACTCACGACGGATCTGACGACATGACGTCCTGATCTGACAGACCCTCCACAGACCGTCCGTTTTCCTCCACAGGTGTGCCAAAACGGAAAACATGCACAATGACCGTCCGCAAGACCGTCCGCTGCCCTCAGGAAAGCTTGACCTTTCAGGGTTTCTTCAATCGAAACCTGGAGCAAGTGCAACTCGGACAAGGTGGACCTATTGTGGTCGTTGCCAACCTCCGGAGGTGTAAGTTTGATGTTCAGAGAAGAAACAAAGAAAAGGTGCCGTTTGGCATTGCGACTCAGTCTCTTCGTTCCGTTCGAACTCGCAGATGCCAGCTCTGTTCGTCCATGGTTTTGAACCGAACGGTTTGAGGAATCTCCCGAACGGCTTGAAGAGCTTAACTTTTGGGTGGCTCTTCAACCAAAGTCTCGAGGCGCCTTGGGGGGCGTGCATTTTGTTCATTCCTTTCCGCCGCATCAAGTCCTCGTTCGTTCGGGGCGATATTCAGGAGCACCGTTCGGGGTCGAATCCAACGGGTTCAACGGGTCCAAATGTCCTGAATGTCCAATGGTCAATCCGATGATTTACGCCCCACGCCCTCCACAAAAAGAGAGATTCAGGCTGCAAACTTCTTGCCATTTTCCATGTGACTGTGGAAAACCGGTTGTGGAGTCTTAGATAACGTGGGTGTTGTCGTGTGCAGTGGTGCATTTGTGTGTCAATCTGGGTGAACGTGGGGACCAGTTGTCGATCCCCTTGGACGTCTCCCTGGACCTGATAAAGAAGACTTGAACCGGCAGGGCGCGTATAGTCATCCTCCAAAAGATATATACGTAGTTAGACATACACACACACACACATATATATATATATACATAATTACACGTAATTATGCGTATATATGGTGTTTCAAGTGGATTCAATTGGCACATGATCACACACTGCCAAGTTTGTGAATGATCAGGATGGCTGGATGTACTGTCAAAGCAGTTTCAAGTTTAGCAACGAGTTCACGTGAATGCAGCTTAACCACCAGGCTTGATTTAAGCACTGAAAAACATGGTTGGCAGAGGGGACATGTGACATCGGATAAGACCCCAAGTCTAAGTTCCACATGATCCTTCCTTTGTGGGCAGATGCATTCACAAAAAATCGGAGTTTGCAGGGAAGCATCCTGCCAAGCAGCCTTCTCTCCCTGACCTTCGGCGGATTCTTCAACATGAGCTTGGAAAGGGCCGCTTGGGTTGCGAAGGCCAAAGTGAGGACCCGCTGTTGCAAAGTGAGGACCTGCTTAATTGTACGTAATTACTGTATTTTAATTTGGGTCTTTCTGAGGGGGGTCATTTCACTGAACTGGAACATCAGATTCTGATCAACGACTTGGCAGGTTTGCAAGGGAAGTCCCCCCCGCAGACGCCCCATCATGAACCCTAGAATTGACTCTTGGTTTCGACCATGTTCCGAATACCAACCGGACATGGTTTCGGGCAAGTATCAGGCAGTGGCCCCGCTCAAAAACGTCATCGAGCTTTGGGGGCAGGCATGGTCCACTGGGTGCAATAGAAACCTGTTGGGCAAACAGAAGTGGATCAGCTTCGCATCCCAAATCTGGGAAGACTTGCCATGGCATTTTCCTGAAGTTGATCACATGGGGCTCACTGACTACGGCCCTGGTGCGTCAGAATCAGCGCTTCGCACTTGACAGAAAACGGGGAAGGCTGGCCTCCCCAGAGATAGCTTGGCAAGCGACCTCTGTGTTCGCCGGACGTGTTGGGTGTCATGGGCGAAAAACCAAAACGAAGTGCCGAAGGCCGAAGCTCCTTCAGCACTTCCCATTCAGCACTGTCACTTCCCCTTCATCGCGCGAACTCGCCTCCGGCAAGTTCACCCCTCCCAGCGGCCAATCGGAAGTTGGCCTCGTGAGGTCAGCTTGCCCTGTGGCCTCCGGAGCTTGACCTTTGGCCACATGGCATCTCTGTATGACACGTCTCGGCACCAGCCTGGCAGACGGGCGTGGCAGACGGGGTCAAGGTAGGCCACATGGGTTCCATGGAAGATTTGTGAAGGAAGATATGTATATATATATATAGTGACATTACATTATATATGCCTACATTGACCCCTGGTCAACCACCCTAATGGTATTCCATCCATGAAGTGTTTGGGGAATTATGGCCATGAGATGACCGAGTTGGGTCACCAAAGTGAGTTGGTCAACCATAGCCGGTTGAAGCTGGGGAAGGCGGATGGGTTTCAGGTGGTTCCCAGACGCCCGCATACGCCATACGCACCTTGGAGCTTCATGTCTAGACTGCCTGCGCATCCAACTACAAGACGCAGGACACAAGCACCGACATGGACGTGTCGACCCGAAACCAAGAAATGCACCTGTTCAGCCAGTCTAGTGCCACACTGCTACTACTTGCTTATATAACTTAGAGTTTGGAGTTCAGTGACCGTTTCGGCAGAACTGAGCAGAACTGAGAAGTTTCGTGCCTACGCTTGCCAAACCAGTGAGACTTTTCAGATCTGAATCCCCCAACCAGTCAGACGAAGCCTAATGTAACTGCTGGAGATGCCTTCAGCTACCCTGGTGCGAGCTCATGGTGATTGACTTCTTGCTTTGGGTTTCTGTGCTCCCCATTCCCTTTGTTCAACTCTCCCATTTCGATTTCCTTTCTGTTCACCCTACCTCTACGTGTTAACTAATTAGTTAGATAAATATGTGTATGTATATAGTTATATTGTGAAGTATTTGTTGTATATATGTATATATACTATAGCTATCTATAGCTACTATTCTACTCCGACGGAGTGTTTTCCTTTTCGCATTCCCCTCTGACCTGTTGTTGTCTACACCTTTGCTCTTCAAACCTCCCACAGCGTCCGCAAACCCACTTCCTACTCGCTACACTTTGCTGCATGGGACATTGCTTCATTCTGTGGCCTAGAAGTGTTAGTGGTGTGTCCATGCTCTACCCTGACATGGGAAGGATATCATGATCGCACGGGTATATTACATGAAAACACCAGGCTTTCTAACTGAATCTTGTCCATGGTTCTCCCATCTCCTCAAGGTGAAGCTTTCAATCAGAGTTTGGAGCACACGGATCTTCCAAAGGGCTTGGAGACTCTGATTTTTGGGCGCAGCTTCAACCAGAGTATGGAGCCTCAGTTTGCATCAGTTAAATGCTGAGCTGTTGGCCAGCAGCCTGTGGGGCGAGTGGCCTTGGTTTGTGCCTTGGAAGTGAGACCAGCATTTTCCAGCTAGTTGTTGGCCGCTAGAGCCATCCAAGATGCATGCCAACAGTTATCAAACACGCCAAAACGATTCAAGAATGCACGAGTTTCGGGATTCACTATGTTCTGTGATCCATTTATATAGTAGGCTGTAGGCTTGTGAACAGATTGATCTATTTGCCAGGGACCAGCGACTGAACTGTCCTGTTTCAACCTGTTGGCACAGACTGAGGAGAAAGTCCATCTCCCAAGTGGCCTCCAGAACTTGCACTTCGGATTTGACTTTGACCAGAGCTTGGAGAACGTGCAGCTTTGGCACCTGAAGAGGGGACACTGCCATTTTAAGCTTGGTTCAACCAGTTAAAGTCGGTTAAAGGTTCACATTGATCCGTGTCAACCTGGTCATTTGAGGATTTGTCGGGTTATGTTTTTGGAGAGGGAGCCAGAAAGGGGGTGAATCTCACTGGGGGGTGTTCCTGCAATTTTCAGCACCAGTGGCAGCACCAACAAGAAGCACGATATCACTGCTACTTCCACCATCGCTCCTACAACTACGATCACTAATGATCAGTATATATAACTATATATATATATGGGTGCTCGCTGATTAGGGGGCCCCCTGGGATACCATCAACACACAAAAGAAATGATCTGGAAACTATGCCCAATCCTGAAGCCATAAAACACCAGAAAGCCAACAAAAAACAAAGAGATCTGGAAACTATGCTCAATCCTAAAGTCAGAAAACCAACAAAAGACAAAAACACAATGAGTTCAAAACATGTTCATCCTACAACGGTTTGGACCAAACGGTTTGGACGTTTGGAAAGCATGTTTGTTGTTTTTGGGTTTGAACCTCACATGTGTTGGGAGTAGTGTCAAAATCATTGTTTTTAGTGGTTTATTTTGGTTTGATATGTAGTTTATAAACACAACAACTGTTTATATTATAAATAATGCAGTTGCACCAATGTCATTTGCCTATCATTTGCAGCATTTCAATTTCAGATCCGCAGCGTGTCATCTGTTCCTTGCAACAAGTCCTTTGCAAAGAAGCTGGTTCAATGCCTTTGACAAAACTAACTAGACCAACTAGACCAAGTCTGTGCACGGAATTCCCCTGATGGCCACCCGGTGGACGACCTGCCCATCCGAGAACTGGGCTCCACCAAGGTCAAGACTGCCATTGGTCTCATCAAGTGAGCGACTCCTGACCAAGTTAACATCGAGGCCCTTGGAAAGTGCATCCAAGAACGTCGCTCTCAAGGTCTTTCCAATGGGTGTGAGTGCTCCACCCCCTATGGCATGCAACTCGTCCTCTCTGGCAACGAAGTTGTGAAGCGCCACATCTTTCAATCCAAGATTGATCGTCACCTTTTCGCAGCTCTGTGCATCGGGGAGGCCTACAGCATCGATTATGGCAAGAACTTTCGCACTGGCCCCATTGCCTTGCAGGCCCTGTTGCAGAACATCCGAGGACGGTGCATTTTCTGTATGCAAGCCTCTATCAAAGAAGTCGGACAAGTCAAAGCAGAATCCAGCCTAGAAGCTGGCTTCGCCTACTTTATTATCAAGAATGAAGGACCTCGAAGCGACATCCACAATAGATAGACTGAATGGACCGAAATTGAGATCCACCGAGAAGATCGTCCCATTTTCGGATGGAATGCAGGACTGGTGAAGGAAAGTCTCACAGGCTATGCTTCTTCCAGTGCTTCTACCAATGTGTTTGCCGAGCCCATGCACGATTTCTACTTGACCTTGAAAGACTTGAGGGGGTGGTTCTTGGAAGACTGTCTTACACCAATCCTTCCTGATCTGAAGGAAAAGAGCTTGGTTCTGATGGGGCTTGCTGAGAAGGGCAGGCCTTCACGGTGGAAAGGCGGACTGCGGCCAAGTTTGCTCGAAACCAACTTCGAATCATTTGCGTGCCTTCCATGCAAGATATACGATATCTGTCTGTCTGTTAATATGTACGATTTTTCTATGTCAGCAGTAACTTGCAGCCTTGTGTGAAGACAACCAAGTCGATGAGACGGCAGAGGGGCCTTGGAAGATGGGCAGGTCGATGTTCCGTTTACCACCTTCTATGACATGATCAAATGTCTGCCAGACAGGATATCATGCCCTGCTTGAAGCGGGCGCCTTGGATCGTCAATCTTCGGCATGCAGTGTACCAGCGCAAGGCTGGCGTCAATGAGGATCCAATATCAGTGGTGCAACATGACCCAGATGCCTCGGACTTCATCTCAGAAGAAGGAAAGGTGGTTCTGAAGCAAATGCGCGAAGATGAGCAAATGATCCTCCTCGAGATTGGCTGGAAAAGCGCCAGTGGACTCAAAACATGCTAGTGCTGCTCATGCGGAAAGAGAAATGGCCTCGTACCACTGTCACCCTTGGAAGAGGATTGGTTGATGACAAGTCCACAGGTCTCTGAAAAGAAACCAGAGCTAGTACCATCTGGGAGCTGCTGTGCCCTTCACCCTTCCTCTGTGCACATCAAGCAGGCGCCTGCGGATGATAAGACTGCGCCTGTGTCTCTGCGAAGGCCGAAGGTGCCTTTGAGTCTTTGACATCGTGGGGCCCTGGTTAACTCATTGAGCTAGCTAGACACTCCTTCTCCACCCAAGAGGCAACTTTCTACTTTTGTGCGCCCAAGAAGCGGCTCCGACGCATGGCATTCGAGAAGGACGGGCCAGGTGGTTTTCCTTCAGTAGGTGAGGCTGATGACACTTGTGCTTCCCTCAACTTCGATGAGGAGTAGGTTTGAGTTCATCTGAGGAGCTCTTCTGAGTAGCTAGTTGTTTTAGCAGAAACGTCTTACCAAATTTGACAAGTGTTATGGGACACTGTCAGTGCAGGAAGCATGTCCAACGCACGTGGTCTCAAAACTTACCTTGTGAGTCTTGTGTGTGTTTCATCTTTTCTTTCTTACGGTTCTTGTTCTTCTGCTGCATTGAGGTTCTTGTCAAATGTACTTGTGACTTGTGCGTAAAACAAACTTCTCATTGTTCTCGTTGCAGATGCTTGACAGCTGATTCTCTTCACAGGCTGCTATGGCACTGATTGCCTTAGCTCCTACACCTTGAAGGTGGCTTGACTGATACTGTGGCTCTACGCGGAGTGTTGGTTTGCTTGCACTTGGCCTAGTTCCTGAGGTCGAAGCATGCCTCAACGACAAGAACCGCAAGGTCATCTTGACTGAGGAGGAGGAGCACAAGACAGACAAAGCCCGGTTCCGGTGGCGCTGTGCTCAAGGTGGGCACAAATGCTTCGGAGCTGCCCTTTGCCCCTGTGGTCTGTTGTCCCATTTGCGTGTCTCGCTTTGGTTGCCTTTCCTTTTCTTTGCCAACGGCATGATGTTGAACTACAGGTGGTCCAAGCTTGCGGTCGATTTGTCTGAGCTCCTTGGCATCTCGTCCCATGATACATTGAACAGGTGGTGGTCTCTGTGCCAATCATGTCTGCAAATCTGCTTAGAAAAGACAGGAGGCTCAGGAGGCCTTGTAATTGGTCAATCTTCAGGAGATGTGGTAGTCTTTGATGAGACCAACATGGGTAGCCAACGTGGTATTAGAAAAGCATCTTCGTCAGAAAGGAGTACTTCGAACTTCGAGGTGTGCCTCTTGCATGAAGCGTGCGTTCTACTTCTATAAAGAACAAGGTGGACACAGATGCAGACAATCGTTCCAAAGGTCGATGGCTGTGCTAGTTACTTAGTTGGCAACAAAGAGAAGTGTTTCACACACAGGAACGGCACTAAGCGCTTCAGTTTCCAAGTTCTTCCGAAACCAGCTTTGGCCAAAGACGGCAAGTCTCGGGGAACGGCCACTATGAAAGAAGCTCTGATCACGTGCATCTCGCATGATGCCTGGAAGGCCTCAAGAGCTGCCGTACGCTGCTTTGGGCTACAAGTTTGCTCCGCCAATCAAACCACACAACTGGATGGCGTGATCGCTCCACTGGCTTCCACTCCAATGATATTGAGTCTGAATTCTCCTACCTCAAGAAAGTCCGGGAGAGATATGGGCAATTGAACTTTCAGGCCAATGTGGGGGAGGAGCCAGAGGCGGCCGAACATGTCAACACAGGTGACCTCTACGAGTATTGTTTTTACATCAACGTGGGTTCTTCTTTTGAGAGTACGCTGAAAGCTGTTGTCACATCGTCTCCAGTCTTGTCTGTGTACGGCCAGCGAAGGAAAATTTTCAACATCGGGTAAACTTCTAGAGTATCGAAGTGAAGTGTGTTCGCGGATCAATTTTGAAAGGGAATGTGTCCTGCACGCAAACAACCAATCCCTTTTAGGTGTAAGATGTTTAAACGAAATGCCTGACCTAAGCACAAATTTCGTGTCTTGTTGTTTATAAACAGACTTTGGCTGTTTATAAACACTCAGGTGACCATGGTATCTGACATTTCTAAACACATGTGCACCGCCAGTTGCTCATATTTGCATTTGTATCTGGGTTAACGACAGTTTCTGTTGCCGCAGCACGGCGCCCAAGCTGGTACTCTTGGGCCCTGCCGAGCAGTTGAAATCGTGTGGACGCTTTCAGTTGGAGTTTGAGGTGGCACCCGAAGCGACTGAGATCACAAAGGAAAGTGCGCCTTCTAATGTAGAGCCCCGTCAACCACCCGCCCTCTGCTGAAGGTAGAGAGGACACCACGACAGCTAAGTTCTCACATCAACTACATTCAGTGGACGTTGGGCTCAGCGACTGGTCGAGACGGTGAGTCAAGCTCAGACTATGTTCCAGGAGTGGCTTGTTCAAGACTTGAAGGGGCAAAAAGAGAAGAAACCACCCCTGTTGGCTTTGAAAGATTACCAACCAGAAGAATCGGGGCTGATGGAGACCGACGCAAGACCACGAAACGACCTCTTTTGGCGTTTTGAAAGATTCCCAACCAGAAGAAGAGCCGGAAAAAGCAGAACCAAGTGGAGGGGCTGGTGGGGACCGACGCGAGACTAAGAAAAGGTCCTCCTCTTCTTCTACCTCCTCTTCATCGTCTTCTTCGTCAAGTACATCCAAACAACTTCAAAAGAAACCTCGGGCAGCTTCTTCATCAAGCTCATCCAACCCTTTGGAAATGGCACTGCAGCATCTGACCACCCTCCGTGTAGTACATAGCGTTTATTTGCGTGACTGTGAGTGCATCGCTGCCGCGCAGAGCGCTCTATAAGACAAGCGGTGCAGTAGATAGAGCTGGAGCCACTTCGGGTGTAAAAAAAATCCGAGTCAGAACACTTCCATTTCCAATCTATATGTTATATATATATATAATATTTATTTGATCAGATTTGATCACTGTATATATATATGCTTGCACCACGGCTACCACCCCAACAGCTAAACTCCTATACTAATTACTCACAGTGCCAACTCTACAAGCGATGTACCCTACCTCACCAATCAAGCGTTCGTGGACCAAAAACACCAGACACCAAAACGGGAGAAGGGTTCTGGGTTTCGACTGAGATCCTTGCCGAGCACCTTGAAAAGCCTCGTTTTTGGAAGTCGCTTCAATCAGAACTTGGACTCCGTGCATTTGCCCCACTCCCTGGAGCCACCTGGATTGGCCAGGGGGAAGTTGGGTGACAGATGTGGCAAGTGCTTTTTGCTCTGACAGTTTCTGTTGTTTTTTCGGGTTGTTTTTTCGCATGGGGTGGGAACATGTGGGAACTATTGAAAGAGACCCATTGGGCCATGGGCGAAGTGCGAAGGAGGACAGAGTGTGATTCTGTGGCCGGATCTGAGGGGAGGAGGTTGAAATCAAAGTGGGAAAATGTTTTCTAAGTTTGCAATATGAGCATGAGCGAGCGTGGAGGGTTGGCGTGAAAGGATGCAGACAGCGGTTGCTTGTCCTTCATCACCTGCAAAGTCCACGACCAAGGTGATCAGCCCACACATTCCAGACGCTTTTGGCCCACCATGTAGCGCTGTAGCAAAATATAATCTCTATATATCTCTATAGTTTATATTTGTATCTATACCTGGAACCTGTTTGACCTCTGTTTTGATAGGTCAAGGCAATATTTTGGGTGGTTTGTGGTCCAAAATCGAAGTCATTCAGGTTCTACGCGTGCATCGATGTTTGCGCCGTAGCTGGAGCCATCCGCGTGCCCAACTGGGCGGCCCGTGCGTCTGGCGTCCTCGGCCGTTGACCAAGCGCTCCCAGGTCTTTGGCGTTTGGGTGGCAGTTCAATCAGCCTTTGGATCACGTGAAGCTGCCCATCAACCTTCGCCCCTCGGCGGAAGCCCCGACCAAATCCCCTTTTTGAAGCTTTCCAGAGTGGTAAGACGCACACAAACACGTAGAGGCTGGGTCAAGTTGTGTTCCTTATTGTTACTTAGGGTTGCATGCAGTACGACCTCTTATCGCTTCTCATGACGTTGTTTGCATAAAGAAAACGCCTCAATATATTAGTCGTGCAATTGTGCGTCTCCACATGAGCTCAGCCTAGAAGCTACAGTTGAGTAGAAAGAGTGCCTAGACGCACCATTCGAGGCGTGACCGGCGGGATCCGGCGGGCATTCCCTCGACGAAGTCCCATTCCCTCTTCGACTGCCAAACGAGGTGACCTGACCTTCGGCGAGAACTTTAATCAGAGCTTGGACGCTGTCCATCTTCCAACTGGCTTGCAACTCGGCGTCCGATGAGTCAGATTGAGCTCCAGGTCCGATCCAGATTGGGATCCGAGGATCCAACCTCTCAGATCCCGATGAAGGCGTTTGGTCCGGCTCCGGCTCCAGGTCGTCCTCGGAAAAGGAAAAGGACTCCACGACTCGGTCGTTGAGTGGTTCCTTCCAGGTAGCTGTCCCCTAGACTTCCAAGACCATTAAAAAACTGGTTGACCTGGTGTTTGTAGAGGAAAGTCCTTGGTCCTTAGTTGATTCGGGATTCAGCCTATCAAATTCTTGGTGGTTGGAAGCATAGGGTGTCTTCACTTGCCCGCACGCATTCACATCCCGCCAGCGAGAAGGAGAGATCAAACAAATCGAGTTGCGTTGGGCGTTGACCGCGTTGGCCATGGTCAATGGGCCTGATTCTTCTAGGTCTCATTTCAACAAATCGAGTTTGGGAAGAATTAAAGGAGGATACAAGGAACATCCCACCAGTCCCACCACTCATCTTCGCTTTGCCTCACTGTCTTCATTTCTGCACCCCAACTGTTTTACGACTTCGCTTGCACCCTCCCGCACCGGCCTGCATCTCCCCTCGTCCACCGTCTTCGCTCCGGGCACCGTCCCGAGGCACAGCCTTACTTTTGGCGAACACTTCGACCAATGCATGGAGAAGGTCCATCTGCCGGACCTGCACAGCCCCTCGGGCATTGGGTTGTCTCGACGCCGCGATCGACCCGAAACGGGTCGGAGGGTCGAAGCCGAGGCCCGAAGGCTCCGGTCCAGACCCAGCAAGGTTTGGTCCTGAAAACCTCATTGAGGTGGTTGGTGGTCGGAGCACCAGCCAAATGGGTCTGTGTGCAGGTCTGGGGCGCTTATAGACTCGGACTGCGCTTGGCCGGTTTACGACTCCAAGCCTGTCAAAGGTCGACGGTGGACAGGGATTGAACTGTCAGCGCTGCAAGTTGTTTGGTTTCTGGATGTTCGATACATCTGAAGACAGCTATAGTTTTCAGATGTTTTCATGCTTTCATGGGTTTGGGGTGGCCTGGTGTTTATTCTTGAGATCATTGAAAAAGTAGTAGGGTGCTGCTAGGAAATTGTGTGAGTGCTCCTGGATAAACCAGAAGCGTGCACCCTACAATTTTGACTGAGTAGACGCCGTAGACACCGTTCACTCTTATACCTCACCTCCCGCGCGACTGCAAGGTTTGACCTTTGGACGTGACTTCAATCAGAGTCTCTTGGGCGCTTCTCGGCGCTGTTGGGCCCAAACAACTGCGCTGACCGCTGACCAGGTCGTCGCAGGAGATGAGACGTCACGACATGAATCGCACAGCGATGAGGGCCACGTGCTTGGAGTAAGGGCACTGAACAGCCATTTGGAGGCAGGAGCCCATGAAAAAGCAGCCAGCTCACTACAGTGCCCACTACAAAACCAATGGTTCTAGGATGGAAGAGCACCCAACTGGTTGGCGATGCATTTTACAAAGGCTTGCAAGATAGAAGTGTGCGTTAGGCTGATTTCTTGTCTTCGGGGCTTTCAATCCTTTTCTTCTGATTCGTGTGTTTTTTAGGGCACCAGAACCGATGAGACGAGCTTCATGGCATGAGCAACAAGTACAGTTACCAACAACAATTAATGTGACCCTCTGACTCACTAGCATGGAAGTGGACAAGCACCTGTTCAACGAGGCGAATGGCGTCATCCCAGCGGCCATGCCATCCCCATGATGTGTTCGTCGGAGTGTACCAACTAAGCATGGCTTTTCCTTTTCGGGTTCCTGAGGGTTCGTCCTGACCGGTCCTGACCGCGGTGTCAGTCGCGGTGGTCCGGGGTTGATCTTCCAAACAGCCTGGAGAGTCTGATCTTCGGAAAGGCCTTCGATCAGAGTTTGGAGGGTGCACCTCGGACCGTTGGGAGGTCTACCGAGTCTACCGCCTTCCCTGCCTTCCCATTGGTAGCCGACCGGTTGCTGGTCGAGTACTTATAGTTGTTGAAAAACAGTGCCGCTGTTCGACATTCAGGCCTTGAAATCAATGTTGGGCCACGAATCCTTTAGTGAAGATGGATTCCGAAAATCCGATGTTGGGACCACACTCGGACGACGCAAGACCACGCGGCATATCGGCGCGGCAGATCGGCGCCAAGCCGGTGCGGGGGAAGGAGTCGGTCGGCTCTGGAGGTTTTCAAGCTTATTCCAGCTGGACCCTCAAAGTGTGGCAAGTATATACAGCCACCCAAATAGATAGAAAAGTAGCTCTCCACTAAACATGTATTGGACACAGTGCCACTATCTATTTGGGGGACCATTTGTGTTTCTTTTCTGGCGTTTTATTGGGTGAAGATGGGTGAAGATGTTGGCATCACCCGCCAGTGGGAGCCACCATCGTGGGTGCATGCGTAATTCCATGCAATTCCTACAACGACATGCCAACAGCAACAACATGCCACAACCAATTGTGCAAACCACTTTGGTTTTGAATCCATGTGTTTGCCGAATTTCTTGGTCGCCCCCGCTGAGGTACATCTTCCAAATGCCTTGCAAACTCTGATCTTTGGTGCCTGTGCAGCACGTAGGACACCTCAAACTGCTGTGGCGCCGTGTTTTGGTCTTGGAAAATCTAAGCGTAGCAGAGGAGCCCGCAGGCCGCAGGCCAGCAAAAAGACACACGACAGCTCCTTCTTGAGCGAATCAGCTGGACTGCAGAGAGATCGGCCTCTCCTCCGTTAGAGCCACATCCCAGATCCTTCCAAGGAAAGAACTTCAATCAGAGCCTTGAGCACGTGAGTTTGCCGCATCATCTTCAAGAGTTGGCCACTTGGAACTGCGATGGGACGAGGAGGTCGTGGTATGGGGGATCTGTGCCGACTTGGAGGATGCAAGTCGTTTTAGGAGAACAAAGCTCCGCCATGTCGGTGACGTTTATTGTTCCAGTCGCTTGTACAGTGGCATTCAAAACATCCGAAATTCTGAAATCCAAGAACCACTATAGTATTTCCATTTCGTTGACGCCTGGACATGAAGCTTTCGCTTCATGCACCTTCTTCCTCCCTAATCCGACGCCAGTGAGCGGACCTGATAGTGCCAGCCTGGCGTACCTTTGGTTTCGGGATGTCTAAGCTCGACCACCTTGAAGATCCAAAGGTCTCTTGCTCAACTCTCGTCACCCTTGAAGCTTCGGGGGAAGTTGGTGTTAAGACTGCGGAAGAGGACATATTACAAACTATATGAGTCACGTCCACTATGGCGCCTGATGTCTGGACTTCTATATGCTTCTATGGCTTCTATATTTGCGTATAAGGTGGAAACATGTATTGACCATTGACCATCTCCCTCCCCTTGCCATGCGCACCAAAAGAAACCGGCCGCCGGTTCAAGGCTAGAAAAAAATGGGCCAAACATTAATGCATATATTTGTTATGATTCGTTCAAATCTCATACTTGATATTACCTGATTGCTTCTGACGACTAGTCGAGTAAAAGAAACAACAACATCACGATTGGACAAACAGCATGACGTGCCAAGATTTCCATGTGCGTTTCAAGCCCCAAACATGGCCGTGAACAAACGAAAGACTGAACGAAACCATGGTGTTGCCATAAGATTGAAAAGTTTGTTCACAACGAAACCATGGCGAAACCGACGAAACCATGGCGAAACCGAACAGTTCACCAACGAACACCCCGCTCGTGACGACCGACGAACGGCGACGACCAGTCCCCGATGAGTCGGACTGTTTGGGCGCCCGACTCCTCGGTGCAACAGTCTATACATCCCTCCCTGGCGGTCAGTGCGCGCCCCACGGATCAACAGTATATACAAAATCATCTGAGAAAACCATGGCCATGTTGTGTTTTTGTGGTGTTTTTGTTGCTGCTGCTGCTGCTGCTGCTGTGGTTGTGATTGCTTCTCGTGACCGTGGCCTTCCTCGGTTTTCGCCCCACACCGGCCGGAATGTCCAGCTGAAGGTATAGTCAAACACCTATCAGAGCGCAGAGAACAAGAACGTGTCATTGCTATTCATGGTTCATCACTGTTCAACCGTGTTTTGATTGTTTGGCTGTGACATGGGGTTCGGCGTTCACACCCAAAAAAACACGCCGCTTGGGTGTCCCCTTGTGGTCCTTGTGGTCGATGGGAGGTCTTCGGCTTTGACTTCAACCAGAGTGGCACGGCGAAAACCGATCTCCACCAGGGGGCTGGGTGAAGAAACGACCCGGGTCGGGTTAGCGGTCGGGTTGGACCTTGCTGGATAGATAGCCCACTCAACCTCCAGGGCACAGCAACCTCCTTCTTAGTTGCTGAGCATGGAAACTATAGTTTGGTTGTGCGTTTTCGTTGAGTCTTCACGACGTGGGGTGGTCCGAAAGCTTGTTAAGCCGGTCAATGATTTTTTTAATTTCTTGGGAGACTGCCACTGGTCAATCCACACTCCATGGGACTGGCAATTTCACCCACTCCACTGGGTGGTTTGGAGTTGCCAGTCATGTCTTCCAATCCCATGTGTCGCCGTGTTTGTCGTCGCTGGTGGACAGCCGTCGTCAGGCGCTCCAGGTCCGCAGCGGCAGACCCAGACCGGAAGGTCATGTCAAATGGCGGCAGAACCTGATGACTGACCCCTTCTATGTTGGTCCCGCAGCCGCCAATATAGCATAGTATAGCCTGGAAACGGACAAGTTCGGAATTTTTTGGACAGGATTAGTGACTGATTGGCTTTGGACTGCTGAATTCACCAAGAATGAACCTCCCAAATTTGCTTCCATTCCAACACCAAGCAAAGAGAGACTATGCCCACTGACACCTTTTTAAGCACCACTCCCCACTCGACCCCGCACTCTCCGGGCTGGCCTTCTGGAAGGCCTTGAAAACGTGAAGCTTCCCAGCACCCTGTTGACGTTGGCCTTCGGCAAGTCGTTCAATCACACCCTTGAATTTGTCGACCTCCCCGCCAACCTGCGCCTTCGCCGACCAAAACGGAAGGACCGGAGGAACACCGGACGTGTTTCGCTAAAAGGGGTGACTCAAATGGATGTAAGAGTTTTTGAAAATGTACAGGGGATGAGTTCATACAGCCAACACAAACGGGTGCCTCCAAACCTGTACCCCAAAGCCTGGTAGATTGACCATCCCTGGTGTGTTCGTTTTGGTGTTTGGACCCCGACCGTTGGATCGGCAGGTGGCGGAGTGGCTGGAATGTAGTAGATCCCGGACACTCCGGCGGTCTGTCATATATGCCGCCCCAATGACCCCTCAAATCAACCACCCGAATATGTAGGTATTAACCATACATGGATTGTTTGGGTATCCCAGACACTCCATGGGACACCCCAACTGATCGGCAGTCCTATGGCAGTCCCATGGAGTGCTTGGGGATGGATGTATGGTAGTCGATGGGTGACCCGGTGGATGATTTGTTCACCACCTCCCTGCTGACCCGGCGCTGGTGGAAGCGACGGACGTGTGACCCGCCGCGACAAAACGGGCGAATCATGGGGCTCTTCGGGGCTAGAAGTGGGGCTAGATAGGTGGTCTCTGACACTTCTGTTGACTATCATCAGTGGGGATGGATGCAAACCCAAGATCCTTGCGGGGTTCAATGCCATTTGAGCACCTGCAAGATGGACTATGTATTTGCTCGCTGGGATGGGGAGGGAGCCCCCAATTTTGCATTACATATTTAATATTACTTAATAAGAGTTGAGAAGAGCAGTCAACCCCAGTCATCCTCCAGCACCTAGATCCGAGTCCCAAAGTACACGTCCCGCAAAAATTCAAAGTAACATCATGCGGCACCCTATGGACCCTATGTGTATCGTGCGTATGCTTCTACTAGTCTTTAGGATTTCTGAACTTTGAGGTGCATATTTTTTGTACTTTCAGATTCAGATGATAGATGAAAACCAAGCCACTCCCCTTAAAAGAAGAAACAACTGTTTCTGTCTACTGGATCGGGTGAAGCAAGGTGCTGTGCAGAACGGCGTTCTTCAACGGCGTGTGTGTGCCTCGGGTCATTGGGTCAATTGGAGCTCACTGTCTTCCATCAAAAACAACATCTCCCGCGCTCCCTCTTCAGGCAGAGCTTGAGCTTTCAAAGCTTCTCGCGCCACATCTTCGAGCGTGTGAATCTGCCCAGCAGCGTGCCACTTGGTGCAATGGAGTGGTCTCAAGTGATGGGTCCGGATCCAAGTAACGGCTTCCTGGCCTTTTTGGTCAGAAAAGAACTCAATGAGGTGTTGGACATGTTTGGCATTGGCCCTCTTTGTTTGGCATGGGTAAGACCTCTTCACCAAGCTGATGAGGCAGTTTTGACAGAGCATTTGTCGTCACCGTGTTGTTATTGTTGTTGCTGCAGTTCTTGTTTGTACCTTTGTTGTTGTTGTGGTTGTTTGTTGTTGTTGTGGTGGTGGTGGTGGTTGGTTTTTTGGTTTTGTTGTTGTTGTTGTTGTTGTGGTGGCCACAGCCCGCGGATTTCTGCCGAAGGATGCTCCCCAAGAAGGAAGAGTCAAAACTCATCATAGCCCGCGGATGTTCTCCAGTCCCCCTGCTGTATCCAGCTTTTTCGTGTGGCAGTTGTTGGCCTCGAGAGTTGTTTTTTGGGGTTGGCTTTGTATTCAGTTCTGTTGACATGGATCATTCACCGATTCGAAACGATGGTTCCCGGTTCGTTCGGCGTTCGGCGTTCCTTCCGAACACCGGAATCGCCGACACACTGCGGGTTCGGGGCGGTGGACTAGTCTGACTGCAGTCTGGAGCTTCCTTAAATAAGGAGCTAGGTCACACACCTTAAGTCACTAGCCACACCATGCAGTGGAAGATTCTTAACGGACGAAGTAGAGACTATGACTCAATCCCAGCGATAAACCTCTCAATAATCAATAGACCATGTTTCCATGCACCAGGCAATCCTTGAGCTTCGGGCGCTTTTGGACTCACAGCCACGGGCTGGTGCGCTTGCCCAGCGTACCACAGAACCTCACCTTTTGTGAAGCCTTCAATGCCAGCATCTCGGCACGTTGGTTCGCCATTGCTGGAGCTGTGGCCACACGGTCGTGTGGTGGAATATTTGAAGCGGCCAATCCATACTAGAAAAAACATATGTATATATGGTGTATATATATATATACACAAATAAGTATAGTTATAGTACTAGTTATAGTTATTATGTACTTATTGTTATATAATTGATCAGTGACTGGAATGTGACCCTCCCTCCAACAATCATGGGCCCCTGGAAAGACCAGGAAATTCCTCTACCAAGAGGGGATTCTCCACTTCCATGGGCAGTTGGAAAGAGGGCAGAGCTCCTGAACGGCCCAGCCCACCCTGCGCCTGCATGCGCATTGTGCCGGCCCGGAGGACCCCAGACGCGCGGACCAAGGCCTGGATCTGTTGACGTTGCCCCATGGGTTGCGCACTTTGACCTTCGGAGACTATTTCAACCAGAGCTTGGAGAAGGTGATTCTTCCCAGCAGCAGCTTGGAGCGAACGGAGGGAAGCTGGAGAGGCAGCGCATGAGGGAACTTTTTGCGGCGAGTGTGGGTGGATGCAACTCAGGAACAGGTGGGAAGAGTGGCATGATTTTGAGAGTTTCGACACTCACTTGGGACCCTTTTTGAGTAAGAAATTGGAAGATGTACCAGCTATAGTCAGTACTGTAGTAGAACTTGAGGAAGAGCGAATTGATCTGGGGACCTGGAATCGAGGAGACGCACGGCCGGGATGGCGGTCGATGTGCAGACTGGGGCTTCGACCGAAAAACCTGGGCGCGGTCTTCCGTGACCGGTGACCGGTTGATTTGGATCGAGGCCTTCAATCCTTGACCTTCGGCAAGAGCTTCAATCAGAGCTTGGAGAAAGTGAAGCTCCCCGCGAACCTGCGGAGCCTGACCTTTGGGAGCCTCGGAGTTCGGTCATTATCATTCTTGTTCAATCGCGCGAAGGCGAGATCGAGCGGCGAGATTGCCATGGGTTTTGGGGTTCGTAAGGCGCTTTTGGGTGTTTGGGGGGGTCGAAGAGCACTAACACGCACACGGATTTCAGTGTAGAAGTTGTAAAGAGGTGTGCAGGAACAATCAAAGACAGACAACCTTCCGACGAACACATGGAAGTAGGTTCACTTGAAAGTTTGATAAAATTTGCTACTGGTATGGAAGGGCCAAGGCCGTTACGTATTAGTATGAGGCTGGCTCACATCCAACTTGATCGTGGGGGCGAGTGGTTCTGACTACCACGGCATTCAGAAGGACTTTCGCTCCTGGATTTGGTAGAACAGCCAGATGCGCTGAGCAATCATATGTTTTGGATATGTTGGGATATGTTTGCCGCCTTTCATCCATCATTAAAGTTGGGATAGAATGTGTATATATAAAATATATATAGAGAGAGAGAGAGAGAAGCAATGCACTTACTAGTGCAGTGTATCATGAGCGCGCACCCACACACACATACACAATAGACTATAGACATGAGTATATATATATAGTTTTGACACGAATGCCCAAGCACTGACACGATCTCCCAAGGAAGAGCTTCAACCAAAGATTGGTGACTTGGAGTTCCCTTCGGACCAGCGGGGTCGATGTCATCGGAGCGAGTCGATGTCAGGATGAAAAACAAAGGTCCCGGTGAGGTCCCCCAAAATAGATCGAAAGGATTGGAGACATTCTGAAAGGTGGTTGGCTGTTCCTGCCTTTGGGGGCATCAAAAACGCCGATGTTTAAGCAGTGTTGGAGGAGTTCCATGATTTGTGTACTTGAGGAATCTTGCTGAGGCACTTGAACCAAGACATGTGGAGAACCAGGGTAGGTTCTGCGCCCTGAGCAGTTCATCGCATTGTTCATCAGCACAGAAGTGTTGATGTTGGAAGAGGGAACATTAGTCCATCATCGTTTGGTTTTGGGGATGAGCACGGGAAACATCCAGCAAGCTCATTCCAAGATCCTTTTCAAAACCAGATCATGCCGACCAACGCTCATGTCAGAGCGGGCCCAGGATAACGTTGAGTTTCCAAGCAGCTTGCAGAACCTCTGTTTCGGATTCGACTTCGACCAGAGCTTGGAACGTGTGCCACTTGTCTCGGCGGCACGTGAGACATTTTGAATCATGGAAGTTGAAAAATAGGCCCCTGGAAGACCATTGTCCTCTACAAACAGGTAGTTTTAAGCTTCCATGTTATTGACTCAGTCAGACACAGAGAGAGAGAGAGAGAGCGAACGAGGGAGGGAGGGAGGGAGGGAGAGGGAGGGAGAGAGAGAGAGAGAGAGCGTCTTAATTAGATGAAAGAACATAGCGGCCAAACATGTCATGAGAAAGCCGAGCCTCCCACAATTTCACTTGGCGCTCACAAGCCTTCCTTGTGCTACAGATCCACAGGCGTTCACAGATCCAAGATTGGCATTTGGTAACCAAGACGTGCTCAGAAACCACTTGTTATGCTGCACAAACCTCGTGTTGCAGGGTGTTGGGAGGATTTCGCGGATGGAGTTTGTTGCGGTTTGCTTCGTCACCCGAGGAATCTTCCACGAAGCTTGCAAAGCCTGTCCTTTGGAAGCCGCTTCAGCCAGAACTTGGACCACCTGGAGCAACTCGTTGGGCGGTTATGGACTCGTGGAGGCGGCAGGGGTAGTCACGCAGGTGGCTGCCCATGCCAATGCTAGCCTAAGCTAGCCAGCTAGCCTGAAACTACCTTGACTCATGCTGCAGATGAATTGACACCTCCATGATGGCCACATGTCAATGATGGAGAAACACTTGTGCCGTGATTCTCTCCATGTAACTGACTCTGAGGAATGCCAATCTGCCCGAGTTGCTCTACCTGGACTGTGGCGGCAACTCGCCCTGACGAGTGTTTGCTTAGAAGAGGGACACCTTAGTTGTTAAGGGTAGATAGCAAGCACAAGGGGTCCGGGTATCCTCCTTGAAAGAATTATGGAAATTGATGGCATCGCCCTTATGATAAATTCTCCTATACAATCAGGCGGTTTTCCACTATGATGATGATTTTTTGGGAGCGTGCACCTTCTGTGGACTCAGATGTGTCACATCCCTCAATTCTCCTGCCAGCACTGTTGAGAAGATGGAGAAGAAACATACAACAAACTTAGACTTTGATTGCTTCTGGCTTCAATCCGATTTCCATCGTGACTTACATGCCAAGCATTGCCAAGCTAGTTGAAACAGTCTGGCAGCCATCATTTTTGCCTTGCAGGAATCATGGTGAGCTTCCTGTGAACCGGCGTGGGGAGCCCCAGCATGCGCCGGTCAATGTGGAAAGCATTTGCAAAGTGAAGTGAAACCAAACAAGAAGCTACGAACGTAGCAAAGGGCATCGCTACTAGGAGCAAAGACGCTACTAGGGGCTCCTGGCCTTACTACTAGTAACCAGAAGCTACGAACGTAGCAAAGGGCATCGCTACTAGGAGCAAAGACGCTACTAGGGGCTCCTGGCCTTACTACTAGTAACTAGAAGCTACTAGGTTGGAGGCCAATTAAGCCTCAGCCCTTCTGCGTCCGGGCTTCTAACAACATAAGCTTTTGGAACAAATGTTCCCACTGCACTCCCCACTTGTCAGCTTACAACTCCCAGCGCCCCTTCAAAGAGAACGATGGCGTCCGGACGGCCACGAACGTCCACGGCCGGTGAGAAGCCACCGTCCACGAAGCATCTGGGGTTTCCAGCCGATGTTTTTCGGTAAAGCTTCCATTGCGTGGGGCCGCCCTGCACCCCAAGAATTCGACCTGGAGGGTATCCTGATGAAAAAGACCCAACATGTCCTTCTCCAAGGTAAGGATTTTAGGATTTGTTAGGGGGCCATGCCAGGTGAGTCAGCGGTGAGACCAACTCGCTGGCGCGACCGCTTCCCGGCAGATGGTCGGGACACGTCGGGAGATCGGGTTCACCTGAGGCCCAAGCTTGGTCATGAGATCACCTAGACTCCCGAAAACTACCATGGAACCTGAAAATAGACCTTTGGAAGACTATTTTCCTCTACAACCCAGTGGTTTTCAGGTTCCATGTTAATTTTCCCGACTTTGCCCACAAAGTCCAATCTTGGAAAACCACTCATGTTGGGCACTGCACATGCTTCACCCAATGACCGTCATTCCAGAGTGCCATGGATGAACATTGACATGCTGTTTGCTAGAGGCCTTCTCATCACCACATGCCAACCAGGGCGGACCAGGCAGCCGAATCGGGGTGGCTGGCTGTTTGTCGGCGCTTCTATATATGCTGATTCCGGACACCCAAAGATGGTCAAACAACTGTCAGCCGACACTTAGCAAAGGAGTAGTTTTTAGTCCCATCCAGTGAGTGGATGCTCTGATGTTCTGCGCCCAACCTACCTTCCAAGTTTGGCACCCTGACACAGCGTGTGCGCAGTCAGGTGCCCCGACCACTTTGGCGAATCGATCTGTGCTCTTCCTTGGCCGTTTTAAAAGGCCGATGGGTTACCCCACTGACACCCCGTGGTTCGGATTCACCCAGTGGGTTACGATGAACATGTTCAACAACTTATATATCCTCCTTGTCATACATTGTGAACAGCTGCCAAATGCACACCGAGCTGGGGATTTCAACCCGAGGGCCTTTTGAAGACTGCCCCAAATCCCACGGTTTTAAAACCATCTTCCTGGGGTTTCGATCCCCCGGCCGAGATCTTTCACGGTGCCGAGACCCTGTTCTGGGCACCGGTCGGATAGAGCCGACACGTGAAGGGGGTTGGAAGGGAGTTATGCTTCCTTGGGAATGGGGGTGATTCCAATCATTTCTGGCATGTTTCCATGATTAACCAACCCCTGCCGTCAAAGTTTAAGTCTCGGCTAGGGGCGTCAGAAAACAAAGTTGCCTGACACCCTGTGACGTGCTGCACGGGTGATCCTGGATGGAACTTGGTGGGTTTTGAGCTCCAAAAACAGGCCAAACGCAAGATCAGGTGCCAGCATCTCTCCGATTCTAGTGGATTGTGTGAGTACAGTATTCCCTTCTGAACTTCTGATTGATACTGTAACGAGTGGCCTTCTTGAATTTGCAGGGGCGATGTTTTTTGACCAAACAAGAGCCTACCGCTGTCGACAAGGTTTGACGAGTTGACCATCTCGAAATTGCATTCATCTCAAGACAGCAGTTCTCTTTGACTTTTCATGTTGGCGAGGCTTGACAGAGGGGGGGTTCGATCTGGAGTGCTGGCATTAAAAAACAAGTCTGACCAGGTGGCACTTTGCCCTGACACAAAAACCAATGAACACCTGCTGCACCTCTGCATTCCGGGTACCTGCTGCACCTCTAGGACAACTAACTATTGTTGAACATATCAAAAAAATTGTCTCTCAACGTCGCGAGATGGTCTATGGAAAAGGGACGGGAAGAACCGTTCAGGTATCAAACAAGACGTAACTTCCGTGAAGACGAGTTTCTATCTGATCCATTTCTGGATTTGGACCACTATGCGTCCCAGCGGTGCAGCAGGTAGTTATGAACACACAAGACCCGATTTTTCTCCGCAAAAGTCATCTGAAAGTCACCCAGAGGAGCCTCTGCCCTGCTGAAGCTGGGCGGAGGAGTCTGAATTCAGCCGATGACCGTGACACGAATGTGGTCCCTTTCATCGACCAATACAGGGCCCCGACTGAATCATTCAGTCGGCTGGGCGGAATGAAGCTGGTGGATCTTCATGTCCAGGAAGGATGTGGCTTGGTTGAAGGATTTGAAACCACGCATCTGGCAGTGTCATACACTCTTCGACTGCAAGTAAGGGCCTGAGGTCTTGGGCTTTTGGGGGTTGTTGAAACATGCACCTGGAATATTTTTCAGACGTTTCAGACAGAGCCCCTTGGATGTTGAGAACATGTTATGGTGGGTGGATGGTTGTCAAGTCGCCAGAGGCCTTTTTGGGCGATAATGTAAAGTCGTGATTAATAAACCTCCCCTAGTTGATCTGAACCCACAAAGCGCCCCAAAATTGTCCAAATTAAAAGTAGTATTATGGTGGCTTATTTCCTCCTCATTGTCTAGTTGGGTGCCAGAAACCCCCCCAGTTAATCCGAGCCTTGTTTTTTTTATGCTGCCGCTACTACTGGCCCTTGCGAGGGGTACCCTTTGTGAGCTTCTCAAACGATTGTTTTTAAATTGCTGTTCAAAAAGGCAATTTATAGGCCAGACATTGTTTGGATTTCATCAGAAAGTCAGTAGTAGGTAGTACGTAGTAGGTAGTAGGTAGTGGTAGCCGTAGCAGTAGCCGTAGCAGTAGGAGTAGGCGTAGCAGTAGGAGTAGGCGTAGGAGGAGTAGTAGTAGTAGTAGCAGGAGTAGTAGTAGTAGTAGTAGTAGCAATAGGAGTAGGAGTAGGAGTAATAGTAGGAGTAGGAGTAGCAGTAGCCGGTCTCCCCTCAATAATCTGCACTACTACCCCCTAT